AGCCATAAAAGGGGAAATTGACAGTAATTAATAGTAGTGGACTTTAACACCCTGCTTTCACCAATGGACACATCAGCCAAAATGAACATTAATAAGGAAACACAAGCTTTAAATGACACATTAAACAAGATGGAGTTAACTGATATTTATAGGACATTCCATCCCAAAACAACAGAATACACTTTCTTCTCAAGTGCTGATGGAACACTCTCCAGGATAGACCATATCTTGGGTCACAAATCAAGCCTTAGTAAATTTAAGAAAACTGAAATCATATCAAGTGTCTTTTCCGACCACAACGCTATGAGACTAGATATCAATTACAGGAAAAAAACTGTAAAAAATACAAACATGTGGAGGCTAAACAATATGCTGCTAAATAACCAAGATATCACTGAAGAAATCAAAGAGGAAATCAAAAAATACCTAGAAACAAATGACAATGAAAACACGATGACCCAAAACCTATGGGATGCAGCAAAAGCAGTTCTAAGAGGGAAGTTTATAGCAATACAATCCTACCTCAAGAAACAAGAAACATCTCAAATAAACAACCTAAACTTACACCTAAAGCAATTAGAGAAAGATGAACAAAAAAACCCCAAAGTTAGCAGAAAGAAGGAAATCATAAAGATCAGATCAGAAATAAATGAAAAAGAAATGAAGGAAACAAGGGCAAAGATCAATAAAACTAAAAGCTGGTTGTTTGAGAAGATAAACAAAATTGATAAACCACTAGCCAGACTCACCAAGAAAAAAAGGGAGAAGACTCAAATCAACAGAATTAGAAATAAAAAAGGAGAAGTAACAACTGACACCGCAGAAATACAAAGGATCATGAGAGATTGCTACAAGCAACTCTATGCCAATAAAATGGACAACCTGGAAGAAATGGACAAATTCTTAGAAAAGCACAACCTCCAAGACTGAACCAGGAAGAAATGGAAAATATAAACAGACCAATCACAAGCACTGAAATTGAAACTGTGATTAAAAATCTTCCAAAAAACAAAAGCCCAGGACCAGATGGCTGCACAGGCGAATTCTATCAAACATTTAGAGAAGACCTAACACCTATCCTTCTCAAATTCTTCTAAAGTATAGCAGAAGGAGGAACACTCCCAAACTCATTCTGCGAGGCCACCATCACCCTGATACCAAAACCAGACAAAGACATCACAAAAAAAGAAAACTACAGACCATTATCACTGAAGAACACAGATGCAAAAATCCTCAACAAAATACTAGCAAACAGAATCCAAGAGCACATTAAAAGGATCATACGCCATGATCAAGTGGGGTTTATCACAGGAATACAAGGATTCTTCAATATACACAAATCAGTCAATCAGTTTGTTAATACACCATATTAACAAACGGAAGGATAAAAAACATATGATAATCTCAACAGATGCAGAAAAAGCTTTCAACAAAATTCAACAACCATTTATGATAAAAACTCTCCAGAAAGTAGGCATAGAGGGAACTTACCTCAACGTAATAAAGACCATATATGACAAACCCACAGTCAACATCGTTCTCAATGGTGAAAAACTGAAACCATTTATTCTAACATCAGGAAAAAGACAAGGATCCCCACTCTCACTACTATTATTCAACATAGTTTTGGAAGTTTTAGCCACAGCAATCAGAGAAGAAAAAAAAATAAAAGGAATCTAAATCGGAAAAGAAGTACAACTGTCACTGTTTGCAGATGACATGACACCATATATAGAGAATCCTAAAGATGCCACCAGAAAACTAGAGCTAATCAATGAATTTGGTAAAGTAGAAGGATACAAAATTAATGCACAGAAATCTTTTGCATTCCTATACACTAATGATGAAAAATCTGAAAGAGAAATTAAGGAAACACTCCCATTTACCACTGCAACAAAAAGAATAAAATATATAGGAATAAACCTACCCAAGGAGACAAAAGACCTTTATGCAGAAAACTATAAGACACTGATGAAAGAAATTAAAGATGATGCAAAGAGATGGAGAGACATACTATGTTCTTGGATTGGAAGAATCAACATTGTGAAAATGACTATACTACCCAAAGCAATCTACAGATTCAATGCAATCCCTATCAAACTACCAATGGCACTTTTCACAGAACTAGAACAAAAAATTTCACAATTTGTATGGAAACACAAAAGACCCTGAATAGCCAAAGCAATCTTGAGAAAGAAAAATGGAGCTGGAGGAATCAGGCTCCCTGACTTCAAACTATACTACAAAGCTACAGTAATCAAGACAGCATGGTACTGGCACAAAAACAGAAATATAGATCAATGGAACAGGATAGAAAGCCCAGAGATAAACCCACACATATATGGCCACCTTATCTTTGATAAAGGATGCAAGAATATACAATGGAGAAAAGACAGCCTCTTCAATAATTGGTTCTGGGAAAACTGGACAGCTACATGTAAAGGAATGAAATTAGGACACTCCCTAACAGCATATATAAAAATAAACTCAAAATGGATTAAAGACTTAAATGTAAGGCCAGACACTATAAAACTCTTAGAGGAAAACAAAGGAAGAACACTCTTTGACATAAATCACAGCAAGATCCTTTTTGACCCACCTCCTAGAGAAATGGAAATAAAAACAAAAATAAACAAATGGGACCTAATGAAACTTAAAAGCTTTTGCACAGCAAAGGAAACCATAAACAAGATGAAAAGAGAACCCCCAGAATGGGAGAAAATATTTGCAAATGAAGAAACTGACAAAGATTAATCTCCAAAATATACAAGCAGCTCATGCAGCTCAATATCAAAAAAACAAACAACTCAATCCAAAAATGGGGAGAAGACCTAAATAGACATTTCTCCAAAGAAGATATACAGACTGCCAACAAACACATGAAAGGATGCTCAACATCACTAACCATTAGAGAAATGCAAATCAAAACTACAATGAGGTACCACCTCATACCGGTCAGAATGGCTATCATCAAAAAATCTACAAACAATAACTGCTGGAGAGAGTGTGGAGAAAAGGGAACCCTTTTGCACTGTTGGTGGGAATGTAAATTGATACAGCCACTATGGAGAACAGTATGGATGTTCCTTAAAAAACTAAAAATAGAACTACCATATGACCCAAAAATCCCATTACTGGCATATACCCTGAGAAAACCATAATTCAAAAAGAGTCATGGGGCTTCCCTGGTGGCACAGTGGTTAAGAATCTGCCTGCTAATGCAGGGGACACAGATCCGGGAAGATCCCATGTGCCGCAGAGCAACTAAGCCCATGCGCCACAACTACAAAGCCTGCCTTCTAGAGCCCACAAGCCACAACTACTGAACCCACGTACCACAACTACTGAAGCCTGCTCACCTAGAGCCCGTGCTCCACAACAAGAGAAGCCACCACAATGAGAAGCCTGTGCACGTCAACGAAGAGTAGCCCCCCCTCACTGCAACTAGAGAAAGCCCACACGCAGCAACAAAGACCCAACACAGCCAAAAGTAAAGAAATAAAATAAATTAAAAAAAAAAAGAATCATGTACCACAATGTTCATTGCAGCACTGTTTACAATAGCCATGACATGGAAGCAACCTAAGTGTCCACTGACAGATGAATGGATAAAGAAGATGTGGCACACGTATACAGTGGAATACTACTCAGCCATAAAAAGAAACAAAACTGAGTTATTTGTAGTTAGGTGGATGGACCTAGAGTCTGTCATACAGAGTGAAAGAGAAAAACAGTCAGAAAGAGAAAAACAAATACTGTATGCTAACACATATATATGGAATCTAAAAAAAAAAAAAAATGGTTCTCATGAACCTAGGGGCAGGACAGGAATAAAGACACAGACACAGAGAATGGACCTGAGGACACAGGGAGAGGGAAGGGTAAGCTGGGACAAAGTGAGAGAGCAGCATTGACATATATACACTACCAAATGTAAAATAGCTAGCTAGTGGGAAGCAGCTGCATCACACAGGGAGATCAGCTCAGTGCTTTGTGACCACCTAGAGGGGTGGGATGGGGAGGGTGGGAGGGAGACACAAGAGGGAGGGAATATGGGGATATATGTATACATACAGCTGATTCACTTTGTGATATGGCAGAAACTAACACAACATTGTAATGCAATTACACTCCAATGAAGATGTTAAAAAAAAAGAAAAAAAGATATTTGCCTCCAATCAAATAAACATTTTCAATTAAATTATCAGCATAAAAAGTCAAATAATATATATTTTTGAAGTTGCTACCCATCCCTTCATGGATTCATAGGGTTATTAATGGCATTTTCTCCTGGCTGACTGGTTCTCACCTGAATAGGAGCTTCTTGGTATTTTTTTCTCCATCCACACATCATCTTCTTGTTCAAAATGGGAAATCATTTCTGGTTTGGACAGCAGATGTCCTGTTTGAGGGGAAAGACTGGTGGATTAGGGCAATATGATGTGGACAAGGACCCTGCCACAAGTCAATCTTATCACTTGGTATTCGTGAAGGTCCTATGAAGACTGGGAAAGGTGAATAAAACCACTGCGCATCAAAATCACATTTTATATTTATATATATGTAGACACACACACACACACACACACACACACACACACACACACATAAATAAAAAAACAAACAAATATTTTCTTCCCCAGAGAAAAAAATGGTTCCAGGAATTCCAGGAATTTCAGTGAAGAGGCCAATTTGCAATATACAACAGTAATAATTCTCAGTGGGGTGAACAGGCAGTAATGATTGTGTGTCCACCAGAGAAGCACTGCCCAAAGTGTGGTTTGAAGAGACTTATCAAAAATGCAGACTCCATCCCAAATCCACTGAATCAGCAGCCCTGGTGATAGAACCTAGGGACGTAGGTTTTTCGGATAACATTTTATTTTAGAGAAAGACAGCAAGAGTGATACACAGAACAGAATGCCTATAGAACCCTAACCCATAGTCACCAATTGTTAATATTTGGCCCATTTACTTTATTATTCTCTCTCACACAATTCTTTTTTAAACCACTTAAGAGAAAGTTACAGGCCCCATGGCTCTCTATGACTAAATTCTTTCAGTACACATTTCCTAAGAACAGGGACATTTTTTTCCATAACCACAGTACAGCCATCAAAATCAGGAAACTTAACATTGATGCAGTATTAGTATCTAGTTCACAGTTAATTTGTAAATGATGCCAATTGTCTCAAATATGTTCCGTTTAGCACTATTTTCCTAGATATTTTCTATCTAGAATAAGACACTGCATTTAGTTGTCTTATCTCTTTAGTCTCCTTTAATTTGGACAGGAACTGGCATTTCTTGCCTTCACCTCAGGTATTTCTATGCACTCTCAAATCTGATACCCACTACCATTAAGGGATCTGGAATATGTGGACCCCCAAATGCAAATCCCCTCAGGATTTACTCTATACAACTGAACCCGAGAGAAAGCAGATGGGTTCAGGAAGATGCTGTTCTCACCCAAGGAGATGAGATTCCCATAGTTCTCCAACATCACTTCTCTGTACAGGTGCCTCTGAGAGGGATCCAGATGCTCCCACTCCTCCTGGGTAAAGTCCACAGCCACATCCTGGAACGTCACCAGCTCCTAAAACAACAAACAAAGTCACCCTCACACATACCCATTCCCACAGAGGAATGCAGCTGACAAGCAACAGTGACATCCATAAGTGGTTCTGAGAGTTTCCAGGGTCCTGAGTTAGACTAACTTAGGCACACATCCATGCACTTGATTGTGTTATATCATGTAGAAGATTGAAAAGATGCATGAGGTACATTTTTTTTTAACGCTTCAGCCCTTAAAGTCTCTTTGGGTGATAAGACTCAAACTTCAACCACAGTACACCAAAAGCTACACAATTTCAGAGGTGTCATCCACACAACATTCTATGAATCAGAATAAGCTTGAGATTTACTTGGGGAAGGGTCCAGAGAAGGAGTCCAAGGTGGGTTGGTGCCATGAGGGCAGGTACCATGGAGAAAGCCAGGTACCAGCCTTGTGGGATGGTTAAAATGTGAATAGAGGGAAGGGAGGTGGGGAATTCCAGTTGGCAAGAAAAGTGAGTGGATAGTTGTGTGGGAAGGAACAAGACATAGATCAACAATAAGGACTCTTTGGTTAATAAGAAATGCTATATAGGAAACATCCCTCTGATAATTATATATTAACAATGTTTATTATGGGCCCCAAATCCCCACTCACACATTCACAATAGAAAGGATATATGAACACTGGCAGAGTCACATGAAGGACTAATATTCAGTACCAATTCCCAAACTGTGGTTCAGGGACCCATGAGGTTCCCCAAGACCCTGTCAGAGGGGTCTGTAAAGTCAATATCATTTTCATAATAATTCTCAAGGCTTATACACTCTCATTCTCTTACAACAATATGGAGGCTACATGTCATGTGATCTTGCAACTGAGAAAATGTTGAAGCAGATGTGAGATTCCAGCTGTTTTCTATTAGGCCAGACATTAAAGAGATTAGCAAAAATATAAAACATTTCCATTCTTCTTTTTTATCTTTTTTTTGTTTTGGAAAATTAAGTATTTTTCATAAAATGTGACATTAACTGTAATGGATTAATTTTTGAATGGATTAATAAATATTTTAAATTTTTGTTAGCTTGAACCGCCAATCTGGTAATATTGATAACACACATAATAAAAGCCATTTTTTAAAGTGTAAAGGGGTCCTGAAACAAAAAGTTTTAGAAACTACTGCTATACTGAAATGAAAGTGAACAAACTACGTATACATGAAACAATATACATCAATCTCACAACATAATATTGAAAAAAAACAAGCACAAAAGAGTACTGTATGTACTCTTGATTCTATTTAAAAAGTTCAAAATCAGACTAAACTAATCTACAGTACTAGAAGTCAGAATAGTGGCTACCATTGTGGGGAAGATGGGGTTCTCTACTAGGAGGGGTTTGTTCAGAGCTGAAGCGAGAGGAGAAGGCACAGAACAGCTATAGATTAATTTAGCCTGTTCTAGAGCTTCATATTAATGGAATTGATACCAACTGGGATTCTTCCCCAATCAATAGAAATTGACTAGAGGCCAGATAAGAAATTCAGGCTAGGCTTTATTGGGGCCCCTGCTGCAGCAAGGAGGAGCAAAAACAAACAACAGTTTCCCTTGCTCCCAGAGCGGGGGAAGGCGAGCTGGTTCCTTATATGGGGTGAGGGTAAGGGTGTGTCCAGGGGTCGGGCCAGAGGGGTGGCTTAGGTGTTTTGCCCAACCCTTTCGTGGTGCTGAGTGCAGGGCGCATGTGCAGTACCCAGCTTTTGCTCCCAGCTCTTCAGAAGTGGCAGCTGAGTTTTTTTGGTCTTTTTGTATCTTTGGTCCAGAATTTGCCCCAACTGCACATGCATGCAGTTATTTTTAGTCCCTTATAGTTCTTTGTATTTTGTTGCTCAAGGAGACGTTTGTCCAGGTGCAAGCACTGCAGCAAAAGGTCGAGGGCCCAGCCTGTCTCAGAGTCACACAGTATGTACTCTTTTGTGTCTGGCTTATTTTTTCTCAGCATAATGCTTTTGAGATTCATTCATGTTGTTCTATGTATCAGCAGTTGTTTCCTTTTTTTTTTTTAATGAGTAGTTCTTAATTATATGGATTAACACATTTTATCCATTTATCAGTTGATGGACATTTGGGTTGTTTTTAGTTCAGGGCTATTATAAACAAAGCTGCTAATAGTCACATACAGATTTTTGTGTGGACATCTATTTTCATTTCTTCTGGGTAAATACAGTGGGATTTCTGGGTCAATGGTAAGTGTGTGCTTAATTATATAAGAAACTCTAAAACTGTTTTCCAAAGTATATTGCACCATTTTGTCACTCCTACCAGCAATGTTCAGACTTTGTTGAGAAACTGGAGTAACATATGTCTAGCCCAGGGCCAGCACAGTATACATGTTATATTGCTCTCCTTCCCCAATCCCCAAAATGAGCTATGTGGGTGATATTTTGAGGGAGAGAAGGTGGACTCTAATTTACCTGTAATTTGGGCATTTCCTCCTCTTCCTGAAGAAGGGCAGAAACCTCAGAAGGCAGTGCTGGGTAAGAAGAAAGAAGCAGTGAAAAATGAACTTGGCTCACTGAAGCAGACCAGTATCTTAGTTACCAAGAAGGGAGAAGGGGCACATTGTATTCAGCTGGTAACACTGGTCCTTGCTTACCATTATCTGACTTTTCTAGGCCCTCCCCTAGAAAGTCTTTTCCTCTCTTTCTACTTTTACAGATGGCCCTTCGACCCAGACACTTTCTCCCTCCCTCCTTGCAAAAACCTACTGAATACCTACTGTGTGCCTTGGTAATGATTTAACTCTCACCTTTCTCCTTACTCTTTGAGGTCACACCAGCTTCTACATGGTCCCACATCTTGCCCTCCCTGTTAGGAGGGGAATCCCCTCAGTACCAGCAGCTCTGCTGAGGGAATCTCTCTTCAGCCTCTCCAAACTCCACCTGGAACATCCAGAGGGAGTTTTAGGAGATGTTGTCTCCACCAAAGATGGAACTCCTGCCATGTGGGGGACCTCCTGCAGCCTTCATGCTCAGGTAGCTATTTTGTTCCTGTAGGCAGGAGAGGAGATGTCCCAGCAGCCCGGACTTCAGGCTGGGTCCTGGACTTCTCTATTTAAGTGAGAGCACAGTTAATAAACTAAAGCACAGTTAAGGTGATAAACGTTTACTAAGCATCCACTGTGTACAAGGCATAACCCTACTTCCTAGGGGTACCCAGCTCTGACTTTCTCAGGACTGTAGCTTCACAGGTTGATCAAGTCACAGGGCAGCAAATTCTGCCTCCTCTGTGAAGATTTCCTGGAAACCTCCCACTTTGGGGATACAAATCCACAGTTCTCAAAAGGTGAACTGGTGAAATACTTGAATTTCTCTTTTTAGCTATCAGATCAGTAAATGTTTTAAAATCTGAAAACCTTATCACTAGTGAGGCTGTAGGAGAATGATCAGTCTCATATGCTGTTAGAACATAAATAGGTACAGTCTTCTGGGGGGGAGCAATTTGATTGTATCCTTCAAATTGAGGGGGCAGGGAGGGTCAGGAAGCAGGGGTTACAAAAGTGAACCAGGAAACTTTGGGAGGTGATAAGATACATTGATTATCTTGATTGAGATGATGGTTTCATGAGTGTATAAAAATGTCAAAATTGAATATATTCATATATATTCATGAATATATATATATGAATATAAAATTGAACACTTTATGTGCAGTTTATCATGTGTCAATTAATCCTCAATACAAAAAATTCAGTTCACTAAAAAAAAGTTTTTTAATGTACAGAACACCTTTGGTCCCACACTTGCAATTCTAAATGTCAGACTTGCACAAGAGCATGAAGATATGAGTGCAGAGATATTTATTGTAGTTACATTTGTAATATTGAAGAACTTTCAGTTATCTGAAAGTACACCCACACTGGACCACACAATACTGAATATCTGCTAAAGAATGAGGCAGCTCTGTATATACTGACAAAGAAAGGCAACTTTAGTGTAACTTTACAGAGAAAGCAGCCAAACTGTGTTAAGATTTACTTTTGTAAATTTTTTTTTTAAAGTATGAGTATTTTACATAGATGTAAATGATTCTCAATGCATTGGATGGGAAATTGGACACAGGATAATTCCACGTTCAACTCTATATCCAATGGTACTCTTCTATTTACAACAAGCAATATGTTTAACGAGCAAAATATTAAGCTATTTTCTTTTTAAACAAATATAAACTACGGAATAAGAAGTGACATAACAAAATGTTAAGGTGACAGCTGGATGAATTTCAGAGATATTACACTGAGTGAAGGGAGTACAAACTGTATTTATGCAGTTATAGAACAGGCAAAACTAATCAGAAATAGTGATTGCCTATGGGGGAAACTGGGAGGGAGCACAAAGGGAACTTTATAAGGTGACAGACATATTCTGTATATTTACTTGGGTGGTGATTTCACTGCTGTGTATATATATGTAAAAATTCACCAAGATGTACTTAAGATTTGTGCAATTTATTGCATGTAATTTACATCTCACTTTTTAAAGTTTTTGCAAAAATTTAATAAGGTATGGTGATTCTAAAAAACTCTAATTAGCAAAGTCATGCAATAACACCCAGTTTTTTGTTGTTTTTTTTTGTTTATTGTGGTACGCGGGACTCTCACTGTTGTGGCCTCTCCCGTTGCGGAGCACAGGCTCCAGACGCACAGGCTCAGCGGCCATGGCTCACGGGCCTAGCCGCTCTGCGGCATGTGGGATCTTCCAGGACCGGGGCACGAACCCGTGTCCCCTGCATCGGCAGGCAGACTCTCAACCACTACACCACCAGGGAAGCCCTTGAATATTTTTGTTTCATTCCATCTTCACTGTGATCACCCTGATCCAGGACACAATCAGCTCTTATCTGGACCCCTGTGGCCATCTTCTATATAAGATTCTATTCCCTCCCTGTCCCCATTTTGATATGCCTTCCACATGATAGTGACATCCAGCTTAAGAGATCTGTTCCCTTCCTCTCCAATCCTCAAATAGAAAAGTTACAGTGGAGAAACCTGGCAGACTCAACATTAATTAAGTGATCAAAGTTAGTATCATAATGAAACAAATCAATATTCTGTGCCAACTGATATGACAAATTGAGGACACATCACTTCTGTGTTACTCCTGCCAGAAGTGTGTAATCTTAATCTAATCATGAAGAACCAAAAGACAAATCCAATTTGAGGAACATTTAAAATAACAAGCCTGTACTTTTCAAAAATGTCAAGATCAATAAAGACAGAAATGTTAAGAAAGTATTCCAGATTAAAGAAGACTAAAGACATGTAAGGGCAGGGGGTGTGGGGCATAAAGAAACTTATTAGGACAACTGGCAAATGTTTATTATTATAAATTGGAGATTAGACAATGGTACTGTATCAATGTTAAATTCCCTGAATTATACTATGGCTATTTAAGGGACTGTCTTTGTTTTTAGGAGATGCATGCTGAAATAATTAGGGGTAAAAGACGATGTCTGCAACTTACTCTCAAATGATTCAGAAAATGACAAATACACATATAGAGATGGAATGATAAAGTAACTGGCAAAAAGTTGACAATTGATGAATGTGAATGAAGGGTATACAGGTGTAATTTGTACTATTCTTGCAATTCTTGTTAATTTAATACCACTTAAATTTTAAAATCCATTGCAGTAAGGAAAACAAACAAACAAACCACCTCAACAAGGCCTACAAGTCAAGAAAAGACAATACTTCCCAATGTACACAGTGCACACCAGGGCATGTGGAAGAGAGGGTGAACCATTTGTGGACTAAATTAATGGAAAGTAGGGGCAAAGGTTAAGGTGTGCCAAGAGCTCTGATACCGATGGGGTCAAAGGGGGAGGTAAATTGAGGAGAGAGAGTGGGCTTTCCTCTGGAGTTTCCCAAAGCTGTGCCACGTTTCATGTTTGTCTTAGAGCCTTGGTGGGCACTTCGAGGCAGTGAACAAACATGTCATCTAACTGGGGACAGGGATTACTGCATGAAAGAGGTTAAAAATCACTCACTGAAGGTCTTGCTGCCAGGAATCCTGGGGCCATTTTCTCCTCTTTTCACAGATCTCTCAGGGCCAGCAGATTCCAAAGAGGGCAGAATGGGGAGCCAGGAGCAATGAGGACTGAGTCACATGCCAGAAATCGTCATACTCAGTCTCTGCAGATCCACCCTTACCTAAAGGAAAATAAAAGAGCCATGAGCCAACCTTGACCTGAAAGACCAAGGAAAATGTAGAGCATGTTCATCCCACAACCTCTGCACTCAGAGAGGCTTTGCAGAGTTACAGCCAGGCCTGTGACGTACGAGTCACCTGTGATACCAAATTCACAACTGGGACACCTCCACCTTTAAAACCTGGAACTATAACTTCCAATGAGACAACAAAGGAAATACAACTCCCCTACAGCCCTCACTGGCCATCAGTGTGGAGAATTCTCTTTTGCAGATAACTGTGGAGGTGATTATAGGTGTGATATTCCTGGCTTTGCTACCCCAGAGGCAAGTACCCAGGGGGAGGTCATTTAACTCCACAGCACCTGGGAAGCTTACAGAAGCTGCTGAGGTTTCTCAGATGCAAAGTGGCAGCAGGCCTTTGGCAATTCATAGAGGGCCTGGCTGGGGGAAGAGCCCACCCTGGTGGCTAGCACAATCTGTCCATCCCTCTGATAACACACCCTTTGGCTCACTTATAGAAAAAGCCCTCTGAGTCAGAGGTGACGGTGGCCTCACAGGAGCATCTACAACAAAAGGGGGGATCCAAGACTCTGGCCCCCCTCCTCAAAGTCCAAGTCACCTCCAAACTAAGGGATGTCAGAACATATTGTCACCATAAAGACCAAGACTCGTGACCCTCACTATATCCCAAACCCAGGGGCACCCACTTCCTAATTCCTCCCCACATCTCCCAAACCCAAGCATGCACAGATCTAGTTGCCCAGACAAACACCTCAGAACATACAGCCCCAATATGCTCCCCCAGTGGACTAAGAATGCCGCCTGCCATATCAGTAAACAAAGGATGTTGTGGCCAGCAAGCCAGTACCCACTGCAGCCACCCCCAACTGTGAACCCTGAAGGGATTCAGGATGGAGAAAAGCAGGATACTGGCCCTAGATAGCTAAGGTGCATATCAAAGGAATGATTTCAATGAGCCCAGACTCTCGCATCTTCCCATACATAGAAAAGCGCTAAATTCATTAACTTGAGATGTCTGGTTTTTTCCTAATTAACAGTAATCTTTTGATGTTCCGACTGCCTGGTTTTTGTTGCAAACCTCCCCCCCCTTACCTCTTCAGAGCAGTCCATCAGAGCAGCGGTCCCCAACCTTTTTGGCACCAGGGACCACTTTCGTGGAAGACAATTTTTCCACGGGGTGGTGGGGGGGTACGGACATGGTTCGGGCGGTAATGCGAGTGATGGGGAGCGGTGGGGAGCGGCATACAAAGCTTCTCTCCCTCGCCGGCTGTTCACCTCCTGCTGTGCGGCCTGGTTCCTAACAGGCTGCGGACCGGTACCCGGTGGTGGCCGGGGGGTTGGGGACCCCTGCCTTAGAGATAAGAGGCTGGGTCCTGGTCTTAAGTCCTCAGAAAGCTCACCAAATAAAACATAATTCTCAACTTTTAGGCTGTGCTTTTTTTTTTCAGTCGACACCCCCAAATCCCTGGACCCTGCCTCACTGTCCTGTCCCCACCAACCTGGGGTTGCAATGCACCAGAGGAGCCTCCCAAACCAAAATGCCCGTCATGGGCCGTCGGACCCCGCGACTCCCGGACCTTCGGTTTTCACCTTCCCCCTTCGCAGGACCCGGGGACCCCTGGCTATTCCTGCTGTCCTCAGCCAGCGAGGGGACTCAACTCTCTAGGCCCGGAGGTCTTGGGCATGGAGGTCGCCACGGGGTCTTCACGAGCCGCTGTTTCACGGAAGCAGCGCGACCTACCCGCGCCGTGCACCCAGAAGGCCCAGCCGGTGCTGCCCGTGCGCAAGCAGAAGACGCGGCCAGGCGGCGGAACCACAACTCCCAGAAGACCTTGCGCAGGTTGGGGCGCTCTCCAAGCCCTCCCCAAGGCGCGATGGGGGCGTGGCGAGGCCGTCACAGGTGAACTGGAGGTCTCACGTGGGATCATCCACCTTGCTAGGACTGGACATGCAAAACCACACGGGTGCCTTCGCCCACCGTCTATAACCAAGAATGAATAAATAAATAAAGAAGCAAACAGTAATTTCTGTATTTAGGCATAGCTATATTTAAACTAATATCCTTTCACATAAATATTTGTATTTTCTTAACCCACTTTTTAAATCAGATGTATATTGAACATTAAGGGGTTTTCCAGAATATTCTGTAAATTCTACATGCCACTTATGTAATTAATGTTTCTCTTTATCGTTAGGTTGTTTCCAATGACTGGTATTACAGGCCACAGTCACTTGTGTTTGGCAGAGACTCAAAGGCAGGCAGGGGAGTGGCAAAACTTCATAGTGAAAAAAGAGAAGGCTTCAGGTATATTCTGAATGGAGGTTATTGGCATAGAGAAGCTGGAGGTGGGCCAACTACAAGCAGTGCAACTTATGTGATTGGTTTGGGGGTAATGGTTTGGCTTTCTCTGGTTGGTTCTGAGTTGGAAGCAGAGGCAAAAAATAGGGAAGCTGCTATTGACCAAGTTCTGACTGTTCTGGGCTGATTGCTGCCAAAGTTGTAGTTTGGTTTTCTGGTTGGAAACCAGTTGTTTACTGCAGAGTTTGTGGGTCAGAGTTCTGTTGTCGTATGCAATCTGGTATTGTTTTTGTATAACCAGTCTCTCAAGTTTAGTGGTTTCAAACAACAGCAACCATTTATTATCTTTCATGGTTTCTCTGGGTCAGGAATTCAGAAACAGCCTATCTGGACAGCTCTGGCTCCACTGAACGTGGAACAGTGTGAAGTTCCAGGAGCAACTGGGAGCTGGCTGGACATCTCTTGTTTCATGTAATCTCAGGGTTTCTCCAGGTGGTATTTCTGTGTAGGCTAGTTTAAGCTTCTTAATAGCATGGTAGCCTCAGACATCTTACATTGCAGCTCAAGGTTCTCAAGGCAAGAGTCCCAAGAAAGATCCAGATGGAAGTTGTAACACCTTTTATGTCTAGCCTCAGAATCACATAACATCATTTCCACTTACTCACAGTTTTAAAAGCCCATCCAGATTCAAAGGGAGGGGACATGGACTCCACTTCCTGATGGGAAAGTGGCAAGGTTCTGGAAGACCATGTGGAAACAAAAATATAGTCAGCCATTTTTGGAAAATACGATTTGCCATAAACTGCAAGCAGATCAAAGCAGAAGAAGAAGTTTCAATTTTCAATCTGCCATGAAGACCGCATATTTATATTACTGAGCTGAAGCCATTTGTAGTAAGTAGGAGTGATCAGAAAAATGATCTCTCATGATTAAATTTTAAGAGGATCAAAGAAGATCTAGCTCCACTGAGCATGTTTAAAGAGACAATGAGAGACAAAAATGAAGCTGTTTTCTTTTTAGCCTCTTGAGTATTGGGTCCAAAGTGATAATAATTGATAAAGATTATTCTGCACAATTAGGGTATTATGGCTAACTGGGGTCAATCAAAAAAGCCACAAAGAACTTCCTTATGTTCTCCATGAAAAAGAGATCTGGGACTTCCCTGGTGGTCCAGTGGTTAAGACTCTGCACTCCCAATGCAGGGGGCCTGGATTCCATCCCTGGTCAGGGAACTAGATCCCTCATGCCGCAACTAAAGATACCACATGCTACAACTAAAGATCCCGCATGTGTAAATGAAGATCCCGCGTACCGCAAATAAGACCAAGCACAGCCAAACAATAAATTAATTAATTAAAAAAAAAGAAATGTGAGAAAGTTGGTTTAAAACAACAAGCATTTATAGTCATTCACACATCTGCAGGTTGACTGGGGGTTAGCTTTTCCTCGCTGGGTTAAGCTGAGGTGATTTGACTGGGGCAGCTCTCATTGTCTCTGGACAGTAAGGTAGCCAGGGCACATATTTCTCATGGCAGTGACTAAAAATGAAGAGGGAAAGTGGAAATATACAAAACCTCTTAAGGCCTAGGCTCAGAATGTGCACATTGTCCAAAGCAACTCACATGGCCCAATCCGAAATAAAGGGCAGGGAAACTATATCTCGCATATAGTGCACTCAAGGCAAGAGTGTTGCGACTGATTGGTTTTTTTTTTTGTTTCAAATAGTCGCAATAAGATCTCCCTATCTCACATATTCTTTCAATATGACTTTGAGAAGAAGGGAAATTCAGTGGTCCCTCTCCTTGAACTAGTTGAGCCTGTGGTTGGAAATGATAGTATATGACTTCCAAGGGTAGGTCACAAAAGGCAATATAGGTGGGCACCCACTCTGGAGCCCCTGAAGTGATATGGCCACTCTGCTGTGCCCAGGGCAGGTGGATGGGGATTCAACATGAGAGACCAGTGCCAGACCCCAGGCCCATGTGCCTGGGCTGTGGCTGCGACCTAGAGACACTGCCAGTTCATGGGACCCTCCAGTTTTTGAAGCTGCTACTCTGCTTGAGTTAGATCTCACCCAGCACTCTATCTTTCTCTATGTACTTTGTGCGAATATGTTTTGGAGCATCAGTTAGGAGTCTATGGGTGAAATCTAGCTTTCATTCATTGATGAGGATTTATTCTTGACACAAGTATTTTAAAAGAAAAATCTTTACATTCTTGACACAAGTATTTTAAAAGAAAAGTATTTTACAATAGCCTCGGTGGTAGTTAGTTCTGTTCCCACTACTGCTTCTTTTGGCGGTACGCGGGCCTCTCACTGCTGTGGTCTCTCCCGGTGCGCAGCACAGGCTCCGGACGCGCAGGCCCAGCGGCCATGGCTCACGCACCCAGCCGCTCCGCGGCATGTGGGATCCTCCCGGACCGGGGCACGAACCCGTGTCCCCGGCATCGGCAGGCAGACTCTCAACCGCTGCACCACCAGGGAAGGTCCTCCACTACTGCTTCTTGTTTTGCCCTGTTACAAGTAGAGAGTGACAGTGCTTCTAATTCTGAGGCTGGAAAAGGTAAAGATTGGAATACTAGAAAGGATCACCTCAATGTGGCAGGGAGAGCTCATGTATGGGTTGATCTGACCATGAGCTCTGTAAGTCCTGCACCGCATCTTGGGGGGCTTTG